ACGTCGCTGGCCCCGCCGCTGGCCCCATGAACACGGCGGAGCCCCCGCACCCAGCCGAGAGGGGCAAACCGGGCCGGCCCCGACCCCACCTGTGGCTGCCCGAGGCCCCGCGGCCGCCGCACCGAGTGGATCCCGCACCGCGGCGACCGGCCCGCAAGCATCCGGCCGCTGCTGGCGGCCGAACCCGCGCTCGCCCTCAGCCCCCGCCGACACCTGTAGAGGCATCGAGGCGGGGGCTGCCCGCGGGGGGACCCTGTCAGCAGCAGGAGCCGTGCCCCGCAGCCCCTCCCGCAGCGCCCAGAGACCTCGGGGGGCACTGCCCCGCCGCCACCCTCCGCCGCCGGCGGGCTGTCAGCCCCGCTCACCTGCCACGGCAGCGATGTCCCGGAGCGCCGCAGCCCAGAGTCCCAGCACGAGGAGCCGCGGGATCGCCATGCTCCGCTTCAGCTCCATCGCTCCCGCACCACCATCCTCCCCCCTGCTCCCGGCGCCGCGGGGGGCTCCCACCGCCCGTGCAGGCGACGGTGGTGGCGACAGCGGCTGGGGAAGCCCCGCGTCGCCGCCCGACACCGGGCTCGCCCGGGGGGCTACGGGGACGCTCAAACTTCTGGCTGCGGCTCCGGCCGAAACGAGCCGCGGGAGAAGCTGCCGCGGGGCGACGGCGCGGGTCGGTGGGGTCGGGTCAGGTCCGCTTCGGTCCGGTCGCCACCGCCGGGCGATCTCCCCCTGCCGGCTCGCAGCCACCGCGGCGCCACGCGGCTCGTCCGTCCGTCCCTCCGTCCGTCCGTCTGTCCGTCCCTACTCAGCCGTCGCCGCCTCCTCCAGGAAATGGCGCTCTGGAGCGGTCACCGCGCGCTGTGCTCTCCCTCTGACATCACGCTCATGAATATGCATGATCGGGCGCCCACCGCCCCCTAAGCGGCGAATCACGGCGCCTGCCGCCCTCGCCCCGCCGCCCCGGGACGGCTCCGGGGCTCGGAGCCCCCGGCAGGGTGGGACGGGTCGGGGCGGGAGCGGCAGAGGGCCAAGGAGGTGTCTGGAGGCGGCGCCCCCGAGGGCTGCTCCCCAGGGCGGCCTGGTTTCCAGAGCGCCGGGAGGGGGTGACCCACATCCGCGGGAGCTGCCGGGCCACCGGTTACCCCCCTACCTACATGCGGAATCAGGAGGCCACCCTGGCCCCTCAGGACCCCTCGCGCATCCTTCAGCCCCCCAGGGGAGAAGGGCTTGAGGCTACCACCGGGACTCAGTCCCCCCAAACCAAGGCTCTGCCGGGATGAGCGGCACCCCGCCTCATGCACATAGCACCTCCAGCCCCACCTCCCCCGACCTGCCCACTCCGGCTCCTTCCCCCGGCCACGCTCCCATCACCGTTCGGACCCCGGCCCTGGGGATACCGGCCGCCTCCGTGGGCCACCCCTGACCTGTGGTGGAGCACCGGCAAGATCCACCCGTGCCCTTCGAGCAGGATCGGCTCGGCCCTGCCCTCTTTTCCGCTAGTGGAAAAGTAGGGAGAGAGCTGAGGAGGGAGATCTCTGCTGCCACGGGGTTACTAGCACGGCGTGGAAAAAGTCACCTGCAGTTTTTAAAAAAATCCGGTGCTGCCTTTTCGTAGGAGTTACGGTGAAAATCTGGGTTGAAAGGCACCGTAAGGAGCAATATCGTTACAACACGATGCAGCTTTCGGCTCTACCACAGCCATCGGTGAGCAGCACTTGCCTAGCAGCTCCTGCAATACTATGGAAGACTGGCTAAACGGAGGGGTGCAGGCAAACTGCCTTATCCCCCAGAGGAGAATGGAGAAACTGAGGCAGGAGAAGATCACATAATTCCATTCCAAATGCTAATCTTCACTCCTCCCTCCCCCAAGTCATTTACATTTCTGATAGGAATTCCTAGGGGACTGGAGCAATGCCAAGATTTCATTACTGGAATGGAAATGTCACTCCCTCCCCAGTGTCTCCTGCTGCAATGAGGTGGCTGGGAGGAGACACTGACAAGCCATCTATTCGAGAGCTCTTAGGAAGCCTAGGTGCTCCTGGGGAAATCGTGCCATGCCTCTCACCGGGATCACGACAGCTCTCGGGCTGAGAGGTTCTGCACTGATGCTTGCTAAAAGCTTCACGTGCACTTACTGTCACTGCTGCCTCTCCCCCGTGTATCCATATACACCCATCTATCTGGGTGCATGGTGTGTTTCTGCACTTACTCATGGCAATAGTACCTTCCAGAAAGAAGCTACTTTTGCAGATTTTAGTGGTCTCATGAGAAAAACTAATGGCCATTAGAATAATACTGTGTTTCTACGGTGATTTTCTTCTAAGAATTTCTTCCAGCCTTACAGTTGCAGAGGCTTACAGCACTACACTGCTCCCATGGGCTCAGGAAGCACTCCATTGTACAAGCAGGAGTGAGAAGGCACAGGCAAGTGCTGTGACTTGGCCAAGCCTTACTGGGGAGGCATCAGCCAAGGGAGCATTGACTCCACATGGTGTGCCTGGAGCATGCTTCTACCTTGACAGGCATGTTGTGCTTCATCCAAATGTCAAGCACAATGCTCCCAAAGGCTTTGAGAAGGGGTTGGAAAAGGGAGCTTTCATCTACAGAGAGGAGAGTACCCAACAGAAAGCTGTCATAGTATGGCACAGCCCAGACTTTGGGCTGGTGTAAGAGACCAAAGGTTTGCTGGAAGCAGCAGACCAAAGGGAACCTTCCCCTTCAGGGGGTCTGGCTTTAGCTCTTCTGAGAAGGGCTTTGTGCTAACAATGATAGGCAGGAAGACCCATACGAAAATTGGACTGAAATCCTGCATGCACTACCAATTGGAGCCTAAACTGAAATCAAAAAACTTAGGGAGAATTATTACCATGCAGAAATCAGAGGAACTGGTGAGTCTGAAATGCTTTTAGGAACTAAAGACAAATAATCTCTCCTGGCCTCTTGTGCCACAGAATTAAGCGCCATGGCTTTGTTCTGTAGGCCGTAACATCAGTGACAGTGCTCACTGCTCACACACACACAGAACACAGCTGATGCCTCCCTGGATTACATCCTTTCCTTACTTCTTCTGTTGCGATAGCATGTTGCCACATCTCACCAGCCTTGCTGAGAAGCATAGGCACGTTCTAGAAAATGCCTGAAGAGCTGCACAATAATCAAGAGGTGAATTCCCAGTGCTTGGAGACTTCAGAAGATGAAGGACAAGGAAAAACAAAAGGAAGAGGGGGGGAGGGGAGAGAGAAAAGGCAGGAGGAAGACAAGTATTTGCTAGACTTCCTCACTTTGCTTTACTGTTCAGCCTCTTCTAATTATTAAAACCCAACAGGACATCTGGTACAGGTTATCCCAGTGAGAAAGCACTCCAAAACACCCATTTCTACATGAGAAGCCATAGCCCTAAAAGTTCAGCAAAACCTGCTGGTGCATGCCAACACTCCATTGTCAAAGTAGTCAGTCTGCAGTTGGATACAAAACCCCTGTAAAAGATGTTTTCCATAGAGCTGCCTGGTTTGCAATCTGATTCAAGAACCTGTCCACTCCATCCTCTGACTTGGGATTTGAAGAGCAGTGTTAACCCCTACACTGTGCCATTGCCACAGCTGCCTGATGCACGATGGCAAGAGAGTGGTAGTGAAGGGCTGCTAAAGTACAGAGGTAGTTCTGCTGTACAGATGGTTGTTCAGGTGCTTCCTGAGTGGGAGATCTGTTGAAGCCAGCATATTCAGTCCCAGGCTAGAACAAGAGCTGCTCCCGACTTTTTGGTCTCCACCAGAGGCTACAGCAAGTCACAGGAGGAAGCTCTGTGTGTGAGAGGGATTTTGCAGCTTAGGGATGAATTTTCAAATAAAAGCCCCAAAGTTGGGTCAGAGCACAGTGTTGAGGAAACAGAAACCCTCGATGCTTCCCAAACCCTGCCAATGACACAGCTTGAGAGCTACTGGATAATACAGTGGCTTTTGAGGACACTGAAAAGGGTTAAACTGCATATAAACTGTCTCAGTTCTCTGCCCAATCCATCATAATAATGGGATTGCCAGAGCTTGTTCATGTCAGTTAATAATACTGTTTAATGTGGCCACTTCTGAAGACCCAAATATAATTCTCCATCTTGGAATACATATGGGACAAAACTGGCCATCCCAATACCTTGGATATGGTATTTAAAGACATGAGTGGCTGCAGTAGCAGCTCACAAGAAGGCTGAAACTCATCCTGCCTGTGTCTGGACTAAGCTTGCCATAATTGAGTTATGCTGCTCATTTGGGAATTATGTTAGCTACAGCTGAACTCTGTTCTCTTTTAATTTACATTATTCTACTATCTTTTCCTTTCTCGTTTCTTGTTTTCCTCTCTACCACCTTCTTCAGTAAGCAACTGTGTTGAAATATTCCAGCCTCTCTGTTTTAGCCTCTTCCAGCTCTTATCTCTTTCATATGTGCTAGTTTTAACTTATTGTGTGAACAAAGGTAAGGACAGGGAACCTTATTAAAGACTTGCATTGACTTCATCTTCAGAATAAAAGGATGTCAGGTATGAGTCTGAGCTTTGAGTTCAAGCCTGATCCTTTCCTAGTTCCCAAAGTCTCCCAGCTCTCCCTGGGGGTGGCCGGTGGCACGGTGTACATGGTGGTCTAGGGACCACTGTATGGTGGGTCTAAATTCAGATTTTTCTATAAGTTTCAATGTTATCCATTTTGGCCCCAGCCCAACCATAATCATTACCCCAAGCCCAAACTTGTTTTTTCCACATGTCGGGGATGGTTATTTTTTTTAGAGCTGATAAACTATCACATCATATGTGTTATCTATCTTTTGTGAAAAATGCCAAGCTGTCAGAATGAAAATATCACATAAATCACACATGAAGTATTTACATTAAAAAAGATTGACTCATAAGAATTTAAACAACCTTTCTGATGGTTCCATCATTTGCAGCCGGTTAGCCAGGTATTGCCAATGTTTCCATTTCTGGAGTTGAAATAAACACAGCACATCAAAATGGAGTCATCAAACCAAAACAAAATGTATTTATCATGGTGCAACAGTCAATGCCATAAGTATGCAGACTTACATATAATCTACACACACTAATATGACTTTCCAGATCTCATATCACATGTTGATACACACAGAATGGACTTGGGAGGAAGCACTTGTTGCCAGTCCCTCTGGGGACTCAGTTTCTTACCTACTTGTAAGGTAGGGTGACACATCACTTTGTTTTTGACAGGGACCATATTGCAATTGTATTGCATTCTCCCGTGAGTCAGAGTGGACAATAATCTCCACCAGCCACATGACAAAATGGTGTGGAGCTTGCTCAGCACATGACCATCCCTCATGGGACGGAGGTTTGGCAGGTGGGAGGTCCCTGGTGGGTCCTCAGAGTGGCCACAAGTTTCTTGGATCAATCTCTGGCTCTTGGAGGGTCTCTGGCCAGGTCTGGAGGGCATCCCACAGCCCAGAGTGCAGTGTGTGCTCTGTCAGGGCCAGACACCTTCTGGATTTGGAATGGCTGGGACTAATTCTGGAAGGTGCTACACCTGCTCCAGGGGAAGCCTTGTGGGAAGAGCCTGGAGGTCCAAGCAGGAGTGGCCAGTGGGGCTGGCTCCCAGCTGTGCTCCCTGCCTGGGGCTGGGGTGTCACTGCATCTTGCCTGGGAAGGTGGCAGTGGGCTGTGGGCCAAAAGCCCTCCCCAGGGCACACAGAAAACTGAAAGATAACGTAGAGCAGTCCGACAACTGGTGTAATAGACACTGTGGGTGGAAGAGCTTCCTAAAAGCTCCAGACTCTCTGTGGGAGGGTTAATACCATATTTACCTTTCCCTCTCCAGTCCCTCTTCCCTCGTCAAGCCTGCACTGCACTGAGCAGGTGGTAGGAATGAAATAACCACAGACCTACAGTCCTAAAAATAGTGGCATTAACAGGGCACTGATCTACGTTATGGCTCTCAACGATTGCTAACAAGGGTGGAGCTGGAGAAGGGTAACTATAGGTGGAAACACAGCAGCGTCTCTGCTGCAGACCAGGCAGGGCAAGGTGAGCAAAGGGCATTTTGCTTTATTGGTGTATGTCACTGCTCCTGGAAGAAAGTCCTCAGCACTTCTCAGGAGCCTAATAATTTGTGGCTGTGTAAGCAGTCAGTGACATTTATGCTGTGACAACCTTACTTTTGTCCAGTCACGCCCTTAAAGATATCCTCACTGGCAAAACCCCAGAAAAACTGGAAAGCAGAAATAAGAGAACTGAAAAAAAATGGAAGATGAAGGTAAAGCAAGAGGAGGAGAACATGAAGAAAGGAGAGAAGGAATGGCAGAAGCAGAGGAAAAAAGTTTGGGGAAAATAAAATAATAAAAAAAGCACTTCATTTGGGGTTTGCAGGAGGTGACTCAGCACCTGCAGATCTGAATTCTCCTTCTGAGTTGACTCTGGCTGGCTACGTGCCTTGCGTCTTGCTCTATCTGAGTTTCTTACCTTGCAAAGCATCCAAGAGGGCAAATGTACTGGCAAAGCACAGGCTTTAAAAATCTTCCAGCAGCCACAGCAGTTAAATGTGACTGAAACCTAAAAAAAGACTGTGGGTGGGATGGGGGGAGATGCAGGAAATCGAGGAGCAGAGAAAAGGTGAGGAGTGAAAAAGTGAGAGGAATGGGGAACAAAAGAAAAGATTAGGGAGACCAGCCAGAGGGGGAGAAGCTCTTGGAAATGAGGTTATCTGTTGGTCAGAGTGAATATGTCCTCTTGCAATGGCAGGGGGAAGAGCTGAACCTCATCCTGCTGACCTGCTGTGGAGACTGATGCTTGTAGGCTCCCCACTGGTGGCACCTCCGCAATCCATGTCACGGGGCAGAGAAGCCAAGTAACCATGGAGACCTGTCACAGAGAGGTTTCTAGACAGGAGGAACGCCTGACATAGAAATGCCGTCCATCGTGCCCCTCCGGCCTGTGCACAATCAGGACGGGGAAGAACCGGGCATCATGGTAGGTTGGGGGGCTTTCGTTGACAGCCAGCTGGCTAGAGTAGGAGCAGCACTGCTCATCCTGACAGCCCCGCTCTGCAATGCTGCTGCTGCGGCTCCTCCAAAGGCCTGTCCTGTGGGAGCCATGAATGCGGCAGAGGGAGAAGCGGCTGGTGTTGAGGGAGAGACGGGAGTTGCCGCTGCAGCTGTGGAAAGCGTGGCGTGAGAAGATGGAGGAGGTGCTGGAGGCATGGTTGCAGCGTTCACAGCCATGGGCTGCCTCGCCATACCGACGCACTGTGCAGCTGTTGTAGGTCGGGGAGTTGGCCAGGTCCATGAGCATGGCCTCCGAGTAGCTAGGGATCAGCTGCCGGTTGGTGCAGATGTGCCACTCCAGCTCGGTGCTGTCCTGCGTGGTGTCTCGGGGCATGCGGTACCGGTACAAGGGCTCCTCTGCCGCACTGGGCGCTGTATACTCCAGGCCCAGCAGCTTCTCCACATGGTAGTGGACATAAGCAGTCCGATACTCTATGAGTACCCTGAGCGGCCACGAGATCATCAGGATAGCTGCCACCCAGAAAGCATAGTGGGACACATACCACGGGAGGTGATCTGGGTCTCCGTAGGCCATCATAAGCTCTTTAAAATCCACATTTTTAAGCTGCATGCCTTCCCTCACCTCCATGTAGTCATCCAGCCCCTCGATCTCTGTGAAGAAGTGAGCTCTCTGAGTCAAGTAAGAGTTCTCAGACTCAATGTTGGCAAAGCTGAAGCACTTGGTGAACCTCAGCTTGGTGGCTGTATGACTCTCCAAGCCCAGGAGCTCCTTGGAGATGTCCTTGTATCCACAGTGAGAGTAGTCAAATTCAGCTTCAGCCACGTGTGTGTTGACCCTCTCATGGTAGACCTGTGTGGTGGTGTAGGCATCGCCATTGCGGTACCGGGTCACCTGCCGGGTTCGCCGTACAAAGTGGTAGCTGATGGCCTTCCACCAAATGCACGGAGTGGCTTGCTGCATGCGGTTGATGCATTCATAGACACTGTCCACATCTGCCTTGTACTGCAGCTCTCTCTTGACGTGGCAGTGCCAGCACTCCACCAGGTACACCACATACAGCATAGAGAGGAAGGCCAGTGGGATATAGACATAGCCATCTGAGCATGGGCTGTCATGGTAGATCATGGACTTGCCCTTGAAGGAGCTATCGAAGCTGAGCTTGGTGACTCGGGCCAGCTGACACCAGGCCACTGCACCCAGGCAGCCGTACATGAGGATGGAGAGGAGGAGGCATTTCCAGTGGGATTCTCGGCACATGCAAGCACTCAGGGACTGTTTCACGGGGCGTTGCTTCAATCACACCGCCGTGCAAGGGGAGAGAAAGACAAAGAGAGAGCGAGGAACCCGTCAGTCAGGCTGCTTTGCACAACACACACAGAGACTGTTGCCTTCAAGACTGTGTCTGGCTTTGCTCTCAAACTGCCTGACTGGGACACCACCCTACTTAACAGAAATGTGAATATAAACAGAAACACCCTGCCAGGGACAGAGGACTCTGGACAAAGCTCCTTCCTTGCTTCCTTATGGCTCTGGGGAGGGAAGTTGTTTGTGAGGCAATGATTCGCTGTGCCTGCACCCTAGTCAGATGGGCCTCTCTTCAGGAGGCAAGATAGGTCCCCATCTCCTTCTTCCTGCCTGGGGCCAGCATCATTTACACACCCTGCCATCTTCTGAGGTTGAGAGGGCTTCACAGCAGGTGAACAGCCAAAAGCGTGGGGCTGTGGACTTGCCCCATTGCTTTGTAAGTGTCTGGTGCCTAGGTGCCCACATGCTGCTGTTGAAGAGGCTTGGGAGCAGCATCCATTGCAAGGCTGCAGCTCCACAGATAGTGCCAGCACAGGAGGACCAGCACTTCATGGAGCTAGAGCTGCTGCCTGACTCAGAGCTGACTCACACCCAGCCCTGAAACCAACCAAATGATCGACACCATTTTCTTGGAGGTGAGCCATTGGGAAAATTACTAGATTCAAGCACATTTAGTTGGAAAAATTGTCAAGATTGCAGCACGATGCAGCATAGCTTCAGGCTGGTTAGAAAACTATCTCTGACCTATAATACCTGAAAAGATTAAGTGTTGGAGCTGAGGGGGTGTGTGTGAATATTTAAAATGTAGCACATCCCTCTCTTTCAACTTCTAAAAGTCAGTTTGGGAGTAGAGCCAGAGTTCGCGCTCCTGTACTTCCACTTTGTCTCCTGAGATAGCGTGATTGCAGTCCTTATCCCAGCCCTGGTGCAGTGTATCAGCTGCATTGTCATGCGATGTTCAGCTATAATGAAAAATGCCAAATCAAGCCAGGCAGCTAGCGGAAACGGAGTTGTCTTCCAGCAAAGAGCAGCAGCAGCATGAGTTACATTACTGGCTGGCAGCTGCCCGTCTATAGAAAGTGCGTGAAGAGAGACACCCTGCTGCCCTAGTAGGTAATGAGGAGGGCTGTCTGCATCCGTTTTGTTACTGCCATCCTCTGCCTCTCCCCTAACTGAGGAAATGACAGTGAGAAAGCAGATACACACTGATACTCATGCATCATCATGCCCTCTGCTGAGCCTGATTTCATGCAAAAATAGAAGCACACTCCTTCTCCCAAGGGGCCACCTCTAATGCATCAAACTGCTCCGTAGATGCCAACAGATGCTTGGTTCAGGAAATGTCTTCTCTTTCTTTCTCCACAGAGAAATTTCTCCCCTACTAAAGCTTATCTTGGACCTACAGCAGTTAGGATTCAGTAAGTGATCTTGAACCAGCAAGGAATTTAAGTAGCAGCATCTTATGACTCAGGAAATAAAAGCATGGCGCCACTAGAAAGAAGAGTTTGCTGTCCTCTCAATGAGATGGAAGCACTGGCATCTAACCTTGAAGGGCTGTAGAATGAGATTTAATGCTGCTGCTTTTTTTTTTTTTTTTTCCTGAGACAGAGAACTGCTTCTAAGCAACTATATAGGGGTTTACAACTTGCTATGAGCACTGCAAAACTAGATTTGGGGTTTGGTTTTGATTTCATAGCTTTTAATCTGACACTGTGTAAGTGCAGAGTAATTTTATTGATTTTAGAGAGCTACATCAATATTCACCTTCAGGAACTTAGGGCAGAATCTGGCCCCTGATTCTTCCTGATGCATCCAGAAGAAATCTGCCAAGAATTTCCATTCTTATTCCAAAACTTTTTTATGTATTCATGTGCCAGAATAAAGAATAATTATTCTGGGCTGTATTCTGAGTGCTGTATTCTCTTTACAGCAGCTACAACAGGTGGAGAGAAGCTAAGTGTTTTATAAAGTACAGGCTTCATAACTTCTGTAGGCAGGGCAGTGAAAAGACCTTAGTATGAGTGAGAATAAGGTTGTTTTTTCCTTAGTCGTTTGCAAGGATACCTTGAAGAACTCCACAAAGTGGCTTCAGACAGTCCCTAAATCAGTTGAAAAATAACTACAGAAGTTTGGGGAATGAATCCCTGAGTTTCATCTCTTGAAACTCTTGTCAAATGCCCACTGCTCAGTCTCAGTGTGGTTGCTGTTTCAGTGTGGGCTTCTGCCCCAGCTGTACCCTGAACTCCACATAAGAGCATCGGGCTCTCCTGACTCATGGGAAATCCACTTGAAATTACTGTTTTTTTATTATTTGTCTCTTCTTGACATGGAACTAGAGTTTTTAAGTGCTAGAGTAATGCAAAAACATGAAGAATTGCAAAGCTCTACTTTTTTTTTCCCCCGGAGGTTTTCTGAGGTGAAAAAACCCTCTAAACATTAACATTTTTCTACTCTGGGCACTGAGACTATGCAGAAGAAAGCAGCTGGGCAATATTCTAATACATCACTTCATGTTCACATTCAGGCTTTCACAGGTACCTCTCATGTAAAATCGCTTACGGTTAATAATGTCAAGAATACCAATGGACCTAGCAAAAAATGCCCAGCAGTGAGTTTTAATGTGAGTGCTTAGGAAGTCCATGCAGCTCCAGGAACCTCATGTTTTTCTATGACTTGTTGGAAATGCTGTCAACGTGTCCCTGGGCACAGCCATGGGAGAAGGCTGTCCCACGTCAGTTATGGCACTATTTGCCAAAGGCACTGCAATCCCACCTTCCCTTTATCTGACTTTCCTTGACTAACAACTTCTCTGTGGTCCAACCTACAACCCACAGATTGGCTTCTGCCCAAGGGGTGATTCAACCAGCCTTGTTGGTTAGGGCAATCAGTGGCTCTATCAGAGTGGGCAAATGCCTCCTAATGTGCTTATCTCTGTGAAATGCCATCTCACCTCTGGGGGATGAGATATCTCTGGTTTCACCAGTCCTGGAGCACCATCCAGCTGGGTTGGCAGTAGCTCAGAGGCTTGCAGGTCCAAGGTGACATTTCTGTATGCAACCTCTGGAGGCACTTCAGAAATGGTCTTCAACCCACTGCACTGAAAGGGCTAGATCAGCCCAAGCCAGGTTTTCTCCATTATTTTTATTGCACCCTGTAGAAAAGGCAGCTTCTCTCATCTTTGTATTAGTGAAGGCATGCAGCCATAGAACCCACTGCCACATCTGATTCACACACCTACCAGTCCAGTTCAGCAGGGCCTTCATGTTCAAAACCCTTTGGTGAAAACACATTTTTTTTTCTCCTGGCTTTTCTAACCCACCGTCTCATTCCCACCATTGTTCCGAGGCAAATCCCACTGTCTGCAGGTCCTCCATTATAAAAGGATCTCTTTCCCAGGGTCTACCTCCCAGCTCTCCCACCTATTTCAAGTTCTGAACACATTCATCTGGCCTATATCCCCTTATTTCTCCTTCCCTTCGCTGAAATAATTATCTAACACAATTATACTATTAGAAACACTACTAGAGTGTAAGAAAGACATGAAATAGAACGTAATTACAGTAAGGGTATCAGACATTCAAAAATCTAATAAGGAAATATATCTTTTCATCTCTCTCTGCGTAACAAATTCATTAATATATTAAGCCAGTGGCTCCCAGACTTTATTAATTAACATACCACCTTCTTGCAAGAATTATGTTTGTGGTACTACATGGAATTTTCTCCTTTCCATGCATAGTGTTTCAAATCTAAACAGGGCAAGCTTGTATTTCTGGATGAGTACAATAAATGCTTAAGGAAACTAGCAATTTCCATGATAAGTGGGGCCAGCCAGTGAGCGGGAGTTGAGTCCTTTGAGGAATGTTGTGGAATCTGTGTTGTTTTGATGTGGAATAAAAGCATAACCTCCGGAAAATCTTAATAGAGAAACATAATTGAAGAAGGCAAAGACAGAGAGCCTGACGAAAAGCCAGAGTCAAAGCCAGAATAGATGGAGGCTCAGTCACTTTGTCCATGAGCCAGGACTTGCAGATTTGCGTCTCTAACCCAAATCAATAGAGGTGTCCTTCCTCTCCTGCTTGTGGGGGCTTTCCTTTGGGCTTTGCTTTCAGCGTTGACCTGAGAAACATCCGGACAGATTAAATGAGACACAGGTTGCTCAGAGAAGTTGTGGATGCCCCATCATTGGAAGTGCTCAAGGCTAGGCTGAACAGGGCTTTGAGCAACCTAGTCTAGTGTAGGATGTCCCTGCCCACGGCAGGGGGGTTGCAACTAGATGGTCTTTGAAGGTCCCTGACAACCCAAACTGTTCTTTGATTCTACAACCACATATTGTGAAGAGAGATGGATTTGTCAAATCAAATGTTTCACCCAAAAGGTCCCAACTAGCTCTCATGACAGTACAATTTGTAAAAATCTCCTGTTTTGGGAGGAATGCTGTGAAGAAGCATAGCTGAGCTGTCAGTATCGTTGTTTATGAATCAAGTTGTTAAAAATAAACACTGTAAATAACATCCTGCTATGCTCTGGCATGCTGCTGAACCACTTTCAGAGGCCTCCCTTCTCATTGCACCTGACTGGATTGGAAATTCCTAACTCTTACCCAAACTATCCATAATCACATGCTAAAATTCACTTTACTTTTTCACACTTAAAAACAATAACAAAAAAATATTTCCCAGATTCTCTAGTAGATCTCAGCATGAATGGGGAAAATGCCATGAGTAAGAGCTGGCATGTGTGGGGAGGTGGCATGTGGGTGTCTCTGCTGTGAGCCTTGCGGAGAGGGACAAGGTTTAGGGATGGCCCTGCCCCGAGCTGTCCCTTGCCCCAGACAGTCAGTCCCACAGCAGTGCTCTGAGTTTGCTTTGGGGTTTTTAGGCCCATCATTTCCAGAAACCTCAGACAGAGCAAAGGGCCTGCGTACCACACAAAATGAAGTCAGCTCCATATCCTCCCATCCTCTGTTTGCTGCCTGGTGGTGT